TACTACTGGCAGTAGTTGTATGGTGGCGGTTGTAGTGGATACAATGCTTGTAGCAGGTGCAGCTGTTGTGGTTAAAGTAGTAGTAGTAGTAGTAGTAGTAGTAGTAGTAGCAGTAGCAGCAGCAGCAGGAGTCGTAGTAGTAGTAGTAGTAGTAGTAGTAGTAGCAGTAGCAGTAGCAGTAGTAGTAGTAGTAGTAGTAGTAGCAGTAGGAGGGTGGTAGTAGTAGTAGTAGTAGTAGTAGTAGTAGTAGCAGTAGTAGTAATAGTCGTCGTCGTCGTAGTAGTATGAGTAGTGGGAGTGGTGGGAGTTGTAGGAGTTGTGGGAGTTCTGGGAGTAGGAGTACGAGGAGTAGGAGGAGCAGTAGGAGTAGGACAACTGGGAGGAGGAGGAGGACGGGTTGGAGTTTGAATAGGAGTAGGAGTGCAGGAGTAGTTGCAGTAGTAGGAATAGCAGTAGTACTGGGAGTACTGGCAGCAGCAGGAGGTGGAGTAGCATTCGCGTAAGCAGTAGTAGAAGCAATGACCAGCATACGAGTGAATTGCAGATCCAGGCCGGCCCAACGCTGCAACGACCAGTTGCTTCTCAGGCTGATGGGCTGCATGCAGCGTTCAAAGCACACGCACACAGAGTTTCTATTTGGGCTTCGTCATTTTGGCACAGCTGCGACAAGTTGCATCTGTGATGGGCAGCAGCAGCGTCATGTTCTGCTTCCAGGAGTCGTGAGAGAGCCGCTCCATGGTGAGGATGCAGTGCTCCCTGTGGCAAGGAACGCAGCTTTGGGGCGCATTCATGGCAAAGACATGTGCACATGGACTCGGCCCGAGTTTCCATCCTTACTGACATGAGCCGGCAAAGTTCTGCTTGGCAAAGACAGGACGCTGCCCCACTCTGTGACAAGCACGCGAGCACTGATCTCCAACCTTGTGGCTTGGGCTTGGACTTGCTGCAGCCGGTATGTATGTACGTAAATATGTCTTTATGTATGCATGCATGCGTGTGTGTATGTATGTATGTATGTACGTATGTATAAGTGTCTCGGCCCAGTCCTGTTTCGCACGTTCCGCGGCCCTCCCCGATACCGCATATGTATGCACACATGTACGTGCATACGTACGAATGTCTGTACTTCGGTAGGCCGCTAGGCATGTAGCTCCAGGCATCTAGCTCATCATGCAGACCCATACACGCCGATGCATGAACGCAAAGCCTAGGAAGAAAAAGCACAGGCATCAACTTCACAGATTTTGACATGACATGAGCGTGTGTACACATACATGCATATGTCCTCAGACACACACACACACACACGTATCAAACATATATATATATATATACACACATACCATATATCTATATATATATATATAGACCCCTATGTATGTAGTTTTATGCAAGCATAGATTTGGATATAGACACGGCATACAGATCGGCCTAGTCCATACACACATGCGCGGCGACATACATACATACGTACATACATACATACATATCTGTATGTCTGTATGTATGTACGTATGTATGTATGTATGTATGTATGTATGTATGTATGTATATATAGATTCATGCTTGTGCATGCCGTTATGTATTTTCCTGCATACACATGCGCATACACGCAGGTACAGACAAACATGCGTCTGTCCTTCACGAATAGAGACCAATACAGAGACTACCTACACATCCGACAATCGTCTTGCAGGTGTTTGAATGTGACCAGGGCCAGGTTCACATTAATCCCGAACTTCGAACTTTAAAGTGCCCAACAGCCGTACGTAAATCGAAGGTAATTCTTCATGATGCTGATTGGCCACAGACATTGACAGACCGCTCAGCAAATCTGCCTTCCAGGTGCCCCGCCCGTGTTTCCAAAACTTTAGGCTTTGGGGCCTTCAGGGCTCGAGATTTCAGCTTCAGGTTCGCAGCTTCGTGGCATGTCGTGGCTGTGGCTGTAGCAGTTGTTCTGAAGCAGCTGCGGTGCAGCATTTTTGCCCCAATTTTGATTACGAACAACTCGAATGCGGAGGCCATGCACGCTGCAGCAGCTGATTGATGCGCTCTACGAAGCTCCGCTGAGAAAGCTGCAATGCAGCGCACGTGTAATTGGTGGCCCACACACGCAAGTGTCCTGAACTTGAGCATGCGCTTGAGGGGTTCCTTTTAGAGATATCTTTCGATAGCAGCCCTACCTCATGTGCGAGCTGGGAAGGAGCCAGGCTTTCAGAGCGTCTTTCCGAAACAGAAGCTTCGTAGACGTTGAACAAGGAGGTTGTGCCTGAGGACGAGCATACCAAGCTGGGAAAGATCGTCGACAAGGATAGGGGATGCTCCGGAAGCTCTTGCCATGCCACTCCGTCTTTGTCTTGCCACCCCATGACGATCCAGCCATGACAGAAATCCCGCGTTGCTGACATGTAGCAGCGTTCTTCCTGGCTGGCAGGAGGACACCTTCCTCAGCCGCGTGGTGGGCAGCATGGGCTCCAACCTCTCTTACGAGCGTGCGCGGGAGCGAAGGGTCGGTTTAGGGCTGAGGGTTTAGGGATTTCCTTGAGTCGTGTTGGTTTCAACATTTATCCGATGAGGTTCCGATGGCCTTTCGGTATTGGTACCAGTCAGCCCAGGGCGCCCATGCACATGTCAAAGAATTCGTCACCACAACACCGGTAGCAGTCGTGGTACGAACAAGAGCAACAACGAGCCTATCCTGGGAAGAGACAAACGTGGCTGCTTTCTCCAAGTGCCACATCAACATTAACAGCAGCTACTTGGTTGTCACATCACTGGAGCCGTTGATTCAGTTAGCAGAACCCTTGCCCATTTCGGGTAATAATACCACCAGTCAACCCATTAGACG